TACACTCCGCCACTGCACAATGGTACCAAAGCCGTATTTAGGAAGGCAAAAATGTTTGCGCCAAACCGTAAGTCTTGGATAAATGGAATCTTCGTGTTAGTTAAATTAGAGTGGTTGAGCTCAACATATCAACTTTTTAGTTATTTGAGATAGACCAGCACAATGTTCTACAAAATTGTAGAACAATTCATCTGAAGCAACTTTGCTGAAGATACAAATTTTCTTCATTTTTGTCGCCTTAAATTTGGCTTTGCGGACCATTGTGTACTGGACTGGTAGTTGCATGAATGTGAATTCTTCTTATTTTGATGGAATCTGCTTAGGGGCTGTTCATAAACTACATATATATATATACACTTTAGAGGGGGGAGTCGTCAAGTTAATAGGTCAATACAAATTTCGAAACGTAGACACAAGGAGGGGGTTTGAAATTTCAAATTCGGTGAATGTAGTTTATGAACAGCCCCTTTTGTTCCGTTGATTTTTGTGTACAACTTTATTATCAGCTCGGGACTAGGATTAACTGACTCTCGCAAAAAAGTGTACCATTTCATAAAAGCGAGAAGGCAATCACATACGTCGGCAGAGGCAGATAATGGTTATTCGGCTTACTCGTGAATTATTTACATTTCTCAGATTGACTTAACGCACACATGTGATCCTATCTATAGGATAGTGTGCAGTTTTTTACATTGTGACGTAAAATTAGTTGAGCTTATCTTGAGAAAATCCCAAACTGTCGCACGAATAAGTCACATTATTTTGCAACTGTGACTGTCTCATGTGACCGAAGCGGTGTCAGAACCCTGTCATTGCTAGTGTTTGTGACGAAACAACGGGAATACAAATATTGGCGAATCCTAGTTAGCTACCGTGGAGAATAGAAGAACTATGAAAGTGATGATGATTTCAAATCTTATAATGATTTTATTTTGCAAATTGAGCATTTTTTATACCTGGTTGCTGCTGCGGTGGTCGAACCGTTGAAATCTATGTAAACAACTAAAAATCCTAATAGATTTTTTTATGTTAATATGCCTATACGCCTTTTTAATAGAAACTAAACGATCGATTCAACCTCTGGTGATGAATAGGAAAACGTCAAAAAGAGTGTTGTGAGCAGAAATTTCTACCGCGAGACAGGAAACGGAACACTTTTTTACTTTTCCTGGTAAATTGATTTATCAGAGATGCTCCAAAACTTGATCTACAGTTGAAAAATTTAATTCTGTAACGTTTTTGCAAAGATCCTGCTAGTGTTCAGGAATATTTTTGTTGAGAAAAATGGAAAATTAGAAAAGTGCCTTAGTGGTTATGATCTTCCGCATTTCTTGTGTGTGAATAGATAAGGTTCAAATCAGTTCAGAGCTGTGGAAAATCGTACAATAAGACAATTACCGATGGAAATTGGCAAGTTATTGAATTAAAAATGCTTCAATTTGCGTTGTGAAAAATAGTTATTCTGATGTAAACAAACGGTTTGGTTGACGTTTCTTCTCGAACTCGCGTGGCGCACTCTACGTTCGTGGTGCATTAAAAAGGCCTATTGAGTAGCCCTTGAGTTTTCTACTAACGTAGCAATGACCCTTCGAGCAACGTATTATATTTAAAGGCGTTTCTTTTACTGTTTCTCTTAATGAAATTTATTAATTATTTAATGTGCAAATCATAATTACATGAGCGGGGTATTTTTGATAGTAGAACATAATGATTATGATAGTAGAACATAATGATTAAATTTACTCTCTGCACTTTTTCTTAATAGGCCTTTTTGATGCACCACCAACGTAGAGTGCGCCACGCGAGTTCGTGAGGAAACGACAACCAAACCGTTTGTTTACATGAGAATAGCGATTTTAACAACGCAAATTAAAGCAGTTTTCATTGAACATCTGACCAGTTTCCATCGGTAATTGTCTTATTTTACGATTTTCAACAAATCTGAACTGATTTGCACCTAAACTATGCACACACAAGCAATCCGGAAGATCATTACTACTAAAACGCTGTCCAGACTACAGAGTTATAACATGTTATAACGGTTGTCAAATAATTGCAACACAGAAACCACCATCAATATAGCGCTATAACATGTTATAACTCTGTAGTCTGAACGTACTATAAGGCACTATTCTAATACTTTCCGTGTTAGGGTGGTCCGATAAGGAACAAAATTACCAATTGCTACGAAATTCTAAGATCCACTCTAACTTTTTTGATGGAATTGCTGTATATAGTCAGAGCCAGTCGAGTAGCGCCTATCTGGATTGCATTGACAGTGTTGCAGAAAATCACCTAGGCAGAGGTTGCCAAGGCAGTTTGTTGTTTTGAAAATTATATACTGCTTTTGTTTAGGGAAAGTGTGACAGTTATGGCACTAGTGCTTCCCCAATGGGTCATACGGCCTAAATTAAGTTCAAATTAAGTTTTTCCAAATGTTGCAACAGGCATGCAGAACAGCATTGAGACTATAATCAATCGGTGGAAACTAACGATTGGCTCACTACTTGACTAGCCGATTGGTGCCAAGTAAATTGATTAACGTACCCCATTCTAGTACTACACTATGTTTGTTTTGATTCACTATTAAAGTTTGACAGATAAAAAGAGGGGTTCGTTTGTTTTCCTATGTTTCGAGCGGCGCATCGATTAGTTTGGGACCGAAGATAATACCAGAGCTGAGCCAAAAAGTTAAGCACGTTTCTTCGGGACCTTCTAGTCTTAGAGTTACCTCTATGCTATAATCCTGTGAAATAAATTTTGAGTTTAATGGAAATTTTGAGGTTTGAGGCACATGGACAATTAAAGGACCACCACCACAACTTGTACACTTTTCCTATTTTTATTTTTTCCCCTGCCTACTCACTACAAATCTATGTCTAAGCCCTTGTTGGGCATTTAATACTTGGACTTTTTGTTAATTGTGCCTCCGCTAGTTGGGTCATGGCCCAATTGGGTTTTTAGGGGTATTGAGGTAATTGCATAGAAATATTTTAAATAAGTGTGAGAACATTAGCAAAAACCACAATCTAAGCGCCCCTCGGTTGTAATTCGTATGGGAGCGAGCTGTCAATTTGTTAGTTCAGTGTCAAATATTTTTTATGTTGCTGTTATTTTGCTTTAAATCTTGATTTAATAATCGAGATGGAAGTAAATGGGATCGAAAAAAATATTCTTCTTATCATCTTATTTCATAAGATGTATAGTAACCGATTTTTTTAAATTAAAAAACTCAATAGAGATTAGTGAAGTTTAATCGCCGTGTAAAGTTGTTTATTATTTTCCTCACACTAACCTAAAAAATGCATGAAATTAGATCTGTAAACATGAGTTTGACAGCGTTTTACTATGCATTTTCCTCGGATTTTCACTAACACGCCCTCACATATCGCACCAATACAACCCGACGTGAAAATCACAATTGTTCCAGTTGGAGTTGGCTGTACCTTTGTTTACACAGTTTTTGATCTCCATTTTGAGAGCATAAGAAGATATTTATAAAAATGGTTGAATTGCATGGATGACCGAGGGGGGCGACACATATAAATCTCAATTTTAGATACTCAAAAAATCTCACACTAGCGAATCAATCTTCGAAAAATCTTCTTGCATTTCTCGCATCTACTTGCTCAATTTTTTGCAGGAAATCTTCAGAATCATCATCAATCTTCTTTCTATCTACTCAGCGTGTGAGCAGCTAGCAACAACAAAACACAATCTTTCCTGCAGCGTAGATAGAGTCGTCCCCCTCGTGGATGACCCAAATTTTGCCAACTGATCAGCTTTTTCATTTCCTTCTGATCCACAAAGACCATGAACCCAATAAAGGTTGATCTTATTGCGATAGGACAATTGTTGCAATCACTCAGTACATTCCCACACCAGTTTTGAAGTGCATGTTTTGATTTTAAAGCATATAACGCTGCTTGACTATTTGAACCGATATATCTTGTGTTTAGAATCAAAACGGCCTAAGTTCGATGACCGATTCTCTTCATTTCATTTTTGTTGTTTCGGATTAACATTTCTCGATGCGTTTGATGTCGCTTTTGCTAGCTAATACAACATTTTTCTTTAATACTCCCTTTAACTACACTGACTGATAAGTTCGGAAAATTGGTTCACTGAACTGTGGTAATGCGAAGAGATAATCGATGAAGATAATCAATCATCGCAGTTATGCCCTTATGGTTCTGAACGTTAGAAGTATAATTTAACTTCATTCAAAGTGTTTTCATGTTACTTCATACGCGAAGTTTGCGATTTTCAGAGTTGGTTGGAAATGCTATCTAACATGAAGATTTAGTGTGATAATTTATTAGCTAGAGAATGGTCTTTAGGAGAGGGTAGGTAGATAGCTCCGTTAGAGTACGACAGTATGGAAATTGAATAGAAGTTGAAAATGAGCGAAGGGCCATTAATGCGACAGTACAAAGTCAAACGCACACCTTTTGTCTAACCCGTAAGAAGTATGTCTTCAAATCTACAGGCAAAAAGTGTGCGCCCGCCTTTGCTCATTACTGTCTGCGGCAGTGGAAGAGTTCTAGCGACGTTTCATCAGTACCTAAAGCCCCACGTTGCTGAAAGCATTTCCAGTCGATGGTGTGTTATAATACAATTCTTCTTTACCCAAGCTGCGGTACTTTTTGAAGTTTAAATATGCTATTGAAAATAATTTGGCCAGAGGATTTTTAAGTTGTGAAAAATCTCTTAACGGATATGAGAATGGTTATTTTTGTTATATCTAACATTATCATTTCATATTAGCGAGAACAATGCTGCTGCCATTCGCATAGTTTATAGATTATCCCTAAAACATCTGTTGCATTCTATCCGCCTATAACATATAGAAACATAAATCATTTACTTTTTTCTTTTTATGTTTATTGATTTATCTTTGTTTGTTTGTTGAATGCTGTATTAATATTCATAACATATGTATTTAGTAAATAGTAAACACAATTATTTTTTTAACATGCATAAATATTTCTTTTGTGTAGCATACAAATTTCAGGAAAATCTGCTCCGTACCATGATTCAAATGGAGAACACCTTTTTTGAGCTTGGAAAATCATGTACGAGAAACTGTCTGATTATCTGCGATCGAGGAGTAATGGATGCCAGTGCATGTACGTTGCGGAATTGATGTTTGCTTTGTTCATATTGAAATCTGTTACTATTGTCTTACCATTACTTTCAGTTGTTTCCAAAGAAAAGTGGGACCGAATGATGAGGACCAACAGTTGGAACTCAGTGGAATTGCGAGATAACCGTTACAACCAAATTGTTCACATGGTCTCCGCAGCCAACGGTGCAGAAGCGTTCTATTCTACAGAAGATCATGCTTGCCGATCGGAAGGAGTAGGTTTGGCACGTGAGCTGGACTACAAATCGGCAGCTGCGTGGATAGGGCACCCATACTTCGATGTTATCGATAATTCGACTGATTTCGACAGTAAGATGAACCGCATGATTGAATGTGTGTGTCAGAAGCTTGGTATAGATACTGGCGATCGTCTTTTGACTACCTCAAAGAAAGTCAAATTTCTCGGTAATTTTATACATTTACAATGATTGAGTGTATCACTAATGTTATCGTTTGTTTCTAGTGTCGGAACTACCACCAAATTCCGCCTTCCCAGCGTTTCAAGATTTCGACGTTGTCCATCACTATCTACAGTCAGCTGGGCCGAGAGTACAAGCCAGGCTTCGAAAACGTGGTCAAAACGGCCACTTCAGCTACATCCATACGATTCGTCGGCCACATCTTCATGGCCAATCGATCGAAGTGAAGACACAACTTACACATCGAGACTACTTGAACATGCTCACACAGCGTGACGACTCACACTTTACCATCTATAAGAAGCGTCGTTGCTTCCTTGTGAATAACCAATATTTCCAAATGGATATTTACAAAGAACCCGGTCATCCAAGGTAAGCTATTATAATTGAGAGAGGCGAATTACCAAAAAAAAAAAACCAATCAACTATCTATAGTTGAAATATACTCAGGTCTTTTTTTACACGGGGGATTTGTTCCGTGTAAAAAAACCTGTAAAAAAACCTACCGAGATTTTGATTTTTTACATGCTTAAATACTTTTAAAATTCGTAATTATAGCATGCTATGGTCCATATGGACAAATTTAAAAAAAATAATCTGTATTTACACAAAAAATTATGATTTTTTTTTTTTAAAGTATTAGCTATAGGTAGCTTGAAACAAATAATGTGATTGAAATCAAGTCGATAGGTTTAATCGTTGTTGAGAAATCGTTAAAAACGTACCGTGTAAATCGCGAATCAGCGGCACTAATTGTGTAAAAAAAACCGCGTAAAAAATCGCGTTAAAAAAACCGTGTAGACTTCAGTGTACAGCTATGCCGCGGTATACATAGGGTTTAATGATGAAATGAAGTACATTGTGCTCTTAAAAAAAAACTTAAAGCTACAAGACTACAGCAATTCACTTTCCTCCTTAATTTTTGCCAAAACCTGGTCCTTCCGAAGGAATTCGTGATCAAAGGTGGTATGCCTCAGAACATCCCGGTATATATGTATGTATATACAATCCAATTTCCACTGTCCGGCAGTGTTTTTATGGAAGAAAAATGTTTGCAATATAAGTTAAGTGACAGCGAAATTGAAACCCTATAGCCTTAAATAGGCAGTACTTCTTAAATTTAATATATTCTACAGAAAATAATTGTTTCTGTTGAATCTTTTTATGCAGAAACTGTTCATTGTTGACCCTTCATAAAGCCTCAAGAGAACATAATATATAACCCGTTGTTTACAAGGTCGTTCATAGCATCCCGACAGGGTGCTCATTTAACTTCGGTTACGAAACGAATATTTTTTAAATCGTCTTGCATAAGATTCAAAAGTGTACTTTGAATATTCAATTTGTATTCATGATGTAAATAGGGCTTCAAACTATTCATTTTGGCTAAACATCATTCGAATTTTCCACTGATTTTTGTATGATTAAAGATGATTTTCTTAGCCAGGCTTTTTTTAAGATTCAAAATCCAATTAAAAGTTTTAAAACCATTTGAAAGTTGGCGTGCCATTTTGCCAATGTAATGCCACTGAGCAATACTCGCTGAAAGAAAGTCAACAGAGTTCGGAAAAACTCGAAAACTCAAATCTCATGCGTGAGTTTATTTCGCCTATGAGTTTTGCCCGTGATAAAATAACCGATAAAATACTTCAAATCTCCGCGTACATCGTACAGGTTAGGCAAAGAATGTGCGTTTCACTTGCACTGTCGCATTAATGGCCCTTCGCTCGTTTTCAACTTCTATTCAATTTTCATACTGCCATACTCTAACGGAACTATCTACCTACCCTATTCTAAGATCATTCTCTAGCTAACCACACTAAAGCTTCATGTTAGATAGCATTTCCAACCAACTCTGATCACCGATGAGTTTTAGGGATAAGAATAGAAGGGCAAACCACAAAGGGCCGAAACACAAAATGTCATTAATGTATGAACCTACCACAAAAGGCCGAAAATCCAATAAGGCCGAAAAAACATAAATATTCATCGTTCGGTCAATGAACAATATTACAATTTACGACATGCGCTAAATGATATGCATTTCTTGCATAAAACTAGTTGTTAAATACATTTGAAGTACATAACCTTAAAACTTGTTTCATTTAGCGGAATTATAGTTGCAAGCAACTTTTACAACGTTTATGACACAATATGACTGAAGATTTTCAAAACAATCGATGCAGTTTTTTTTTGCGATGCACGTATTTTTTTCCGAATTGTTTTTATTTTATTCTTAAAACACTATCAGTTTAATGGTGTACTGTAAACAGTCTGAGGAATCTTGAATTCTAAATCTTGAGTTTAAGGAATTTCGATCTTGAAGATCTGAAATTGTGTTCAATTCATGGTATTGGTTTTATTCAAAGTTTTTAGCATACGAAATAGGGAAATTATCGGCAACTCGAAATCAGCCGCACTTTGTAGTGTGTATATATCATTTAAAGAAAAATCTGGCATAACAGGATTGCTCAGTCGTAAAAATGTAATCAGATTGAAGCTGAGAGACTAATGCCGCGGATACACTTGTATGACAAACTGTGAGCATGAGCATTAATTGTATGATAATTATGAGCACTAACAAAAACTATATATAAACTATACAAGTGTGACCATGGATGAGCATGAGTTTTATTATACAAATAAGGCTCATGCTAAAGGTATGTCATACAAGTGTATTCGCGATATAAGGAATCGTTTAAGGTAATACTCTAAGGAAGCCTTAGCGTGAAACTTTAAAGGCACAGATGTCAGCTTCCACAAAACATACAAATTTGAAATTGCTACTCCTTGTTTGCTGTGCTACTACAAACAGAGAGTAGCAATTTCAAATTTGTATGTTTTGTGCAAGCTGACATTTGTGCCTTTGAAGTTTCAGGCTAAGGCTTCCTTAGAGTACATTCAGCGAAGTGTTTTGATGGAAAAATACAGTGAAATTGACATTTAAATTTTTAAATGAAAACAATTAATGGGTGCCGAAGCCGACATTTACCGTATCTCTAAAAAATTCTAATCCTAATGTTTGCATACTATTTGGAAAAGAATCGTCACGGTGACCTATGGTCCGTGGGTTGTCCTCAGTTGGGTTGCAGACATTCAGATAAGTCATATGTTATTAAAATTTTGTGCATAACTTATCTGGATTTTGAATGATGTCGCGATAATAAAAAATGAACTATAATAACAACCTACTGGTTTGAAATTTTGCTAGTTTACAGCTGACTGTTGTTAATAATTAAATTATTAAACATTTGTGGACAAGTTTTAATACTTTCGGCTCCGTATTATAAGACAGTTGAGGTGATTCCTTGTAGAGTCCACAAATGGCGGCTACGTAGGCTATACATGCACTTCCACTTCGAATTTTCAATTACTCCATTTCATTTGAAATTGCTACTTCATGTATGCTGCAGTGCAACAAACGTGGAGTAACAATTTAAATGTTGCACGTGTCGTAGAAGCCGATATTTGTGCACATAAAGTTGCTAAGTGGTTACGAGAATAAGGATGGCACAGCGAATCACCTTAAGCGTTACCAAAGAAACGACCTTTTTTGTTATCTATTTATGCCTTGAATATGATTTATATCATTGGTGCTACAATCAGCCTGATATACAACAACAATAAACAATAAACAATTGAAATTTTCTTGTAGGCTTATTTAAACGTAAAGTAACAGAATCTTACTTTCTTAAAAAATGTGACGTTTCAAAATCATTTAGGAATGTAAATACCATTTGTGTGTTTAAGGGGTACCTTGGCGTTATTAAGGTTACATCGTTTTGATGTACTTTCCATTTAGTTTGAGTACTACTTTATCGTTTTGATACTACTCAAGTGTTTTGATTACTCTTTAATTGCTTTCAGAACATTTTTGCACAGTTCATGTCATTTTTGATGTTTTGCACTGATTTGGCGCTTTAGCGCATTTTTTGTTAATAGCTAGGATAGGGTGGACGTACCAGCTATGGATATCTATTATGGTGTGTGCCAATTATGGCATATGGGAATAACATAAGCCTTAATTAGAATACACTATAATATGAACGTATAAGAAGTGGTAGGAAATAAACCTGTTTTCAATGCTAATTCACCCATGAAACTATGAATGGTGTTCCTATGCAGCATTATAGAAAGTTCTGCCTGAAATTGCAAAAAATCATTTTTTGCTGATGTGTCAAAAATCGAAATTACTTATAATAATTAGACATCATAAAACAATGATTTTGGAATTTTTGGTGTCTACAATTTCTGCATTGAGGCATCACTAATAATGATTTATTGAACACCAATATAAAGGAATTTTAAATATTCCCTATAATTGGTCAAAAATAATTTTCCTAAAAATGAACCTCACACGGGGCAAGAGTGCCACCCCTATATTTATGAATAAAATTATAAAAAATGTAAAAGAAATTGCTTCATTGCCCATTTAAGTCTTCGGTAAGCTTGTTTTCACCAAATTTGATAAAACCAGCTACATGAAATAATATCATCAACAATAGTTTTCATTTGATTTCATTTGTTATGTATTGAATAATATTCTAAAATTCATTTGTTAATTTGCTATTTATTGAATAATATTGTAAAATTCAATAGTTAAATTGAGTAAACAATATCAGCTATTTCTAGCCCCATAGGAGTTAGCACTCTTGCCCTATTGCAGTTTAAAAAAAAAAAGATTTGAGATGAAATTTTAAAAAAATCGTAAACAACTTTTGACGAGACATAATTGGCATTACATTGCTGATGTATGAAGACAATAATATGAAGTTGCAAAACGGTGTAGAAACTCCTATAAATATCCACTATTTGGCATATATAGAACGTACGATTGTTAAGGTGGCACTCTTACCCCACCCGACCCTACACCAAACCTATACTTTTTTGGTATGTTTTGAGCTATTTTGGGCGTTTTTTAACCATTTAAATGCCATTCTTTTTTTGGTATTAAGTAATCATGCCTTCAATTTTGCGTTTTAAATCCATTTTTTTAGTTTTAAAGTCCTATTGGCCTTACTACATCTGTATTCAATAATTGTCAATCAAAAGTAAAATCAAAAGCAAAGATTAATATTTACTTTAAGTTAAGTTTTAGTTACAGTTGCATAAATACAGGGTGTCCATTCAAACGGGAAAACCGGGAAATGCGGGAAAAAACCGGGAATTCGGATTTGCCGGGAAAAATGTGGGAAAACCCAAATCGCACCGGGAAAGGTCATATATACTCATCCCAAGTAACAATTTTGGTTTTTCATACTCTTGCAGACTATAATTTGGTCTTGAAGCATCATATACAATTTGCAATGTTACTTGGAACCAATCAAGTTATATCGCATACACCATTATAATCATCTGTTTACAACTTTCATATTATGTCTTTACCACAGTATCAAAAATCCTCAAAACTACAACAACTCTATACTTTTCTTTCACTCGCAATCTATTCGCGCACGGGGAAAACGATGATTTTGCCGCTTTTCCGACCACGATAGCTTAGAGAGTAAATTTTAAGAATTTATTTTGGTGTCATTGGAAGAAAAGTGTTTGAATTCTTTTGCTACAATTTTCCGAGTGAAGTAGTTCTAGTATAAAGCCTGAGCGAGACATATCTTGTTACGAAGCTACACCGGACACAATCAAAGAACTAAAAATTATGACATCTGTAAAACGAATGATCCGAGTGTTAATGTGAGTATATTATTTAAAAAAATAAACAGCTGAACTCTAGAAATTTTACAAAACTTAATAAACCAAACCAATTGTTGGCCTCACGAAGGTTTACTCATTCTATCATTAAGTCAAATCATCGTATGCATTGTTGAGTCTGCAAAACTTCAAGATAAGATATCCGGGATGATTTGGATAGTTCTACAATGTTATTTTTAAACACAACTAAACATTTTAAATTATGTTATGAATCTCCGTGATGCACAAAATGCTCAAAAATTCTGAGTGGACATCGAACAAGATTTCGATTAACCTGTAAAATATCTCCGGTCTCTTGAATTGATATATGCTTTTTCCGACATACCACAACAACATTTAGGCTCATGTTTTGCAGCGAGACTCTTTGTTTTTGTACGGATTCATGATTCCATGAGATTTTGGAGATCTAGATCATCGACATGTTAATGTAAATCTCATTTCATATTATTTGCACAAGGTAGACGTATTGTAAAGCAACTGTGCTCAACAAATTATGTGATTATCTATAAGGGCCCATGCATTAATTATGTCACGCTAAATCGAGGAAAAATGTACACCCTCTCCCCTATCGACACGTTTTTTCCTATACCTAATGCATTGCTTGTCACAAAATATTAGCCCCCCCCCCCCCCCATCAACCCTAACCTAATATATTTTTCTTAGATTATTCACCAATAGAGCCCAAATAAGGCAAAAGATTTAATACCGCAATTATTTGTAATTCCTCCAACGTAGCTAACATTTGGATTTATATCTTTCGCAGGTGCAAAGGGCTAATCTTATTGGAGACGTACACCTCGTTGAGCGGTGATAAGCTGAAGGGTATTTTACCGACATTTCTTAACATTGTTAAAGAAGTCACCGGACAGCCAAATTACTCGATGTTCAATTTATCGCTGAAGGAGGATTGGAGCAATACGAAAAAATTCTGCTACTCACTTCATGGTAAGAAAACTGTTTGTTGTCACAGCGCTACAAACACTGGACCCAGCGACAGTGACAAGTAAATGTTTGATGAATGTAGACATTGTTTCATGCTCACTCCGCATTATATCTCCTATTGTGTCCAAAACAACTGTTTGGGATGCATCGTATACTTATTTTACTTTTTGAATATCAATTAACGTTGTAGTTTTCTTTATTCCCTACGACTAACCATCACGTAATGTAAGGACTGATACTTTTTGCTTATAAAAATCTATTCCAGATTTCTATTTTGACATTTTTTTTGTTTTCTTATGTACTTCTATCTGTACTTAAAATCTTTGAACATGGAAACAAATATCTAGTGTTTGGCTTAAATTTTCATGTTTCTGCCCAAACAACATCTTGGATACTTGCATGAGTTTTGGATTTGTATCATGGTATTACCCAGCAATATTAAAAGCTTTTACCGAACTAAGAACATCATAACAACCTAATCCAAACCTGATGCATACTATCTGTTATAAATGATACCACCTACATTTATTTAGCAATGTTTTGAGTGATATGATATTGATGGCATTCAGTTATTCTAAAATTTATTCCTTTTCACAAACTTTTCATACATTTTATTTAATTCCTACATATTATATACACCTATCAAATGCATCTGAGTTGTTATACAATCTCAAAGATACCGTTAAATCAATACACAATAAGTAGCCATTTATTGTCAAGTCCTTGCCTAGTCATACTTTCATTTCCATTGGCATTATCGTAGTTATTTCATTATTCCGTTTGAGTTTCGATTCAGTAGCTCAAAATTGCTTGCGTCGATTTTAGTTTATCCTATTGGCAAATGTTATATATTAGTATAAAATTCTGTTTCTTTTCTCTTTATTTTTATTATTCTAGATCAAGATGAAGGTGAGTTTAGAGCAAATGGACACTCGCAAAAAATGATTAACGGTACAGCTTAAATGTCATTGAGTGTATGATTATTATTTTTCTATTAAATCATAATTCTTCTTGTAATGGTGTGTTCTTCTTCGAACAACATTTTTAAAGATGATTCACAAGATCTTATTCTTGTGCATCTTTCCAAATTCTTATTTTTCTTAGAATGAACGATTTCTTCTATTGATTTTTTCAACAATCGGTGGTATTAGATTAGAAATCTCTTGTTAAAAATGACTTCAAATGGATGTTCTCTGTATTTTTTTCTATTTGCTCAAAACTATTGCTCGCAGAGGAACGTGTTAAATAACATGGTGTATAAACATTTTTTGCAGTTTTCTACAGGCAAAACAACAACAATAGGTGCATTAATAGCAATGTTAACCTTTAATCGCCTGTTACTATAAAAATTGCAATGTTCAGATGGGAGCCAAGCTCTGAATTCTGATGGCTCGTAAATTAATCTGAAACTACTGGAAACTGTTTACTTAAAGAGTTACTTAAATATTCGCTCGATAAGTGTTAGCAGCAGGGAAAACAAAAAAGTAGAAAACAAGCTTTAAACAACAACATGTGAGAGAAGAATTTAGCCAACAGGTATATTTTTGCAATCAATTTATGTGTATTGTTAAACTAGTCCAGGTATTGTCATGTGTTAGATTTCGTTTCATTTGAATGTTCTTTTAGTACTTCAAACATTAAAATCATGTCTAAAGCCATCAGTTCAATAAAAACGGAAACCAAAAATCTTTGGCTAAATTACTTACCCATCTCATTCAGTGATCGCGCGTACTAAGCGTTGACAATTTTTGTGTGGATAAAAGAAATACCTAACTAAAGCAAATAGGAACAACCAACACTCTGTTTTGAATGTATTTTATATTAAAATATTGAGCCCTATTTCTTTAAACAAAACCTGTACTTTCTTTTTGACAGCAAGAATCCATAAATACTTAACTGCTGAATTGCATTTCATTATTTTGATGACATACCCTAGTGTAGTAACGAATATTGGATCCTGCATTTGTTTTCATTCAAATTCTGTTTCTATTCCCACCTTTCTTTACGAATGTCAATAGTCACAACATTAAATAGTTATTCAAATAGACTACCTTTAATTCCGGCTTTTTAGTAAATAACTCAATTTAGAATGGCATGATTATTAGTCGCCTTACGTTTACACTTGCCATGTTGTGGTTATCAATATTTGTAAAGAAAAGTGGGAATAGAAACAGAATTTGAATGAAAACGAATGCAGGATTCAAGGGTCCGCCGGGTGATGCTAATCGAGCCAACGTAATGTTAGTGGGTAATTATGGTCCTTAAGGATTCAATAGAACATGGGACAGTTATGCTTATAACGGCAGAATAGTGCATATATATAGGTATTGAATTAATTGAAAAATTCTAATTACTTCTACGAAACCCATGCGCTTTTTCTGTGTGTCCATCTTGAAGATGAACGAGAAAGATTTGGAATAACGACTATATGCCACTAATTTAGGCCCATACAAAAATTCAGCAATCGACCAAAAATATCCATTCGCACCGTCCCATTTAGATAAAATCATCACACATTCTATAACTCCATCTTCTTCAAATTCAAAGTAGGCAACGGCAGCGATTCCGTTTTCGCTTGCATCGCAGAAGATATTCAGTTGAGCAACATACGTGGCTTCAGCAGACGTGATGAACCGGTAGCACCGAGGAACGCTTACCTGGTGTACGCCAGGTAACAGTGTAATGTAGATCATCCACTTTTCTTTCATTTTTATAATGATTCTCCGTTCCCATCTCCTTATACAGACTCATGTTCTTCTCCGTGGTAGTGCCATAGAGGTAACTCTTATGCCAGAAGGTCCCGAAGCAACGTGCTCAACTTTTTGGCTCAGCTCTGGTACCATAGAGGTAACTCTAAGACTAGAAGGTCCCGAAGAAACGTGCTCAACTTTTTGGCTCAGCTCTGGTACTCTCTTCGGTCCCAAGTTAATCGATGCACCCCTCGAAACATAGGAAAATCCACGAACCCCTCTTTTTATCTGGCAAAGTTTCATAGCGAATCAAAACAAACATAGTGTAGTACTAGAATTTCGACTAGAATGGATTTGCTTGAGACCAATAGGCTAGTCCAATGTGAGAAAAGTCCACGTAAACAGTATCACTGAACTGTCATCAGATTGAGGTTAACCCCGACGGTGCAAAACCTAATTGGGTAGAAGGCTATATCAACAATCAATACGAAACTAACGATTTTAAATTGGCTCACCACTTTAGTAGCCTATTGGTCCCAAGCAAACGATTAACGTACCCTATTCTAGTCGAAATTCTAGTACTACGCAATGTTTGTTTTGATTCGCTATGAAAGTTTGACAGATAAAATGAGGGGTTATTGGTTTTTCCTATGTTTCGAGGGGTGATTCGACAAGCTTGGGACCGAAGATAGTCCCCCTTATTCTGCGAGTCACGTGACTCTCTGTCACCGGTGAGGTGAGAATTGTCACCTCGTGTGAGGTGACTCTCCATTTGATTTGCACGGAGAGTCACCTCACACGAGGTGACGATTGTCACCTCACCGGTGACAGAGAGTCACGTGACTCGCAGAATAAGGGGGAGTACCAGAGGTGAGCCAAAAAGTGGAGCACGTTTCTTCGGGACCTACTTGTCTTAGAGTCACCTCTATGGCTATATAGCGTACACTCGAAGGAAGAATAAACTATAACAACTTTGTGACTCGAAGCTTAAACAAATGCGTGTGTTATTTTCTAGATCATAAAGAAACGTCTCCCTCTTGAAAAGTACAAATTAACAGATATAATAGCATGTAGCATTTTTTTTGTTCCGTGACCTCATCCCTGGCACTTACGGCACTGGGTGAGGTTTCGAAAATTTCCTCCAGTCTTTTTGAAATGTTCTCACTTCACTCAGACATGGCTAGATTTTTCTAAGGCCTTGAGGTTGTTTAGTTCACTAGACTTGAAGTAAACAAAACAAAAATCATTAGAAATCCCGTTGCGCAAATCGTCAGGACAGGATTTCATTTTCATTTTTGATTACTTGGACTGGTACAACTCCAAGTAATTTGCCCAGTTCATTTTTGATCTGATCAAGGGATTCACAACTGGGCAGACCTTTCATGACAACCTTGAACCCCTTGAACACACGTTCAGTTTTGGTGTCGTAAGTAAAAAATTGATGCTGCTTCTCAGTAATATCAACAATCAATACGAAACTAACGATTTTAATTTGGCTCACCACTTTAGTAGCCTATTGGTCCCAAGCAAACGATTAACGTACCCTATTCTTGTCGAAATTCTAGTACTACGCAATGTTTGTTTTGATTCGCTATGAAAGTTTGACAGATAAAATGAGGGGTTATTGGTTTTTCCTATGTTTCGAGGGGTGAATCGATTAGCTTGGGACCGAAGAGAGTACCAGAGCTGAGCCAAAAAGTTGAGCACGTTATTTCGGGACCTTCTAGTCTTAGAGTTACCTCTATGGTAATATCAACAATCAATACGAAACTAACGATTTTATATTGGCTCACTACTTGACTAGCCTATTGGTCCCAAGCAAACGATTATCGTACCCCATTCTAGTCAAAATTCTAGTACTACACAATGTTTGTTTTGATTCGCTATGAAAATTTGACAGATAAAATGAGGGGTTAGTGGATTTTCTTATGTTTCGAGGGGTGAATCGATTAGCTTGGGACCGAAGATAGTACCAGAGCTGAGCCAAAAGTTGAGCACGTTTCTTCAGGACCTACTAGCATAGAGGTAACTCTAAGACTAGAAGGTCCCGAAATAACGTGCTCAACTTTTTGGCTCAGCTCTGGTACTATCTTCGGTCCCAAGCTAATCGATTCACCCCTCGAAACATAAGAAAAACCAATAACCCCTTATTTTATATGTCAAACTTTCATAGCGAATCAAAACAAACATTGCGTAGTACTAGAATTTTCACTAGAATGGGGTACGTTAATCGTTCGCTTGGGACCAATAGGCTAGTCAAGTAGTGAGCCAATTTAAAATCGTTAGTTTCGTATTGATTGTTGCTACTAGTCTTAGAGTTACCTCTATGGTAATATACTTGAGAAGACGTTTGAATCCGTCCAAGGTTTCAGCCAATACACGGTATTCACCTCGGCGGCCAATTTGCAGTGAAAGCTTGAATTTCACGAAGGTCAAAATCGGAAGTGGTTATCAAAGTAGGGGGAATCTTTTCCTTTTTGGCATTAAGCCGGGAAAGTTTATTAGAATTTTTCCTGGATGATGGATCATTCTCATCATCCGTGAGCAAAGCAAATTGATTACTCAAATTAATTTCATCAGAAGGGGGATCAAGAGAATGCCCCTTTCATTTGCGCTTAGGTGCCATGGCGGCAGTAAAACGTTTATCCAAATCGATTTCCAAGCAGATTGCTATAAGAATCTTAAGGATCGTAGAGGAATTTTCCAAATCGATATCCAAGCAGGATTACCTCGGGTAGGGTAGGGTCCAAATAAGGATAAGAGGATAGGAAAATCAAATAACCCCTCATTTTATCTGTCAAACTTTCATACCGAATCAAAACAAACATTGCGTAGTACTAGAATTTCGACTAGAATGGGGTACGTTAATCGTTTGCTTGGGACCAATAGGCTAGTCAAGTAGTGAGCCAATTTAAAATCGTTAGTTTCGAATTGATTATTGGTAGAACATTTACAGGTATATTGGGCTCTGAAAAGTGTTGTTTAAATTTGTTGTAGCTTTAGGTAGCAGTAACACCATAGAGGTAACTCTAAGACCAGAAGGTCCCGAAATAACGTGCACAAGTTTTTGGCTCAGCTCTGGTACTCTCTTCGGTCCCAAGCTAATCGATTCACCCCTCGAAACATAGGAAAAACCAATAACCCCTCATTTTATCTGTCAAACTTTCATTGGCGTTGACGGCACCGTCGAAAAATTTGCTCTTTCAGCAAATATAGACAGTTTCTTATGGGAATTTTCGGTGGAGTGAAAGGATAGTACAAAGTCCGCCATGTTTCACGCACAGTCTGACGTTTGCTTATGGATTTTCTCATAGGAGTAAAGAGCTACAGAGTCGCCGTCAACGCCAATAGCGAATCAAAACAAACATTGCGTAGTACTAGAATTTCGAATAGAATAGGGTACGTTAATTGTTTGCTTGGGACCAAAAGGCTAGTCAAGTGGTGAGCCAATTTAAAATCGTTAGTTTCGTATTGATTGTTGGTAAGACTTCCTTCAGCAAAAAACAAATAGATGCGCACGACAAGAGAACACGATGCGGACTGTCAAAGATAGGTTGATTGCTTGATTAGCTCTTTCACCAGAAGCCCGGTTGGAGTGGCTTCTTGGCACATTCGATCTCGGTGATATGCGACCCATGCATCTGTTGTCCAAGATGAAAGAACTTTCCACTGGCCTCAACGTGAACGATAACCTCCTGAAAAAAAATTTCTTGCAGCGAATGCCATCACATATTCGCCTAATTTTGACTATCAGCGACGATTCATTGACGAAGCTGGCGGAGATGGCTGACAAGATGGAAGCGTCCCCACAGTCCGCAGCGGTTTCTACTTCCCATGGGGTAAACTAAAGAGCCTGACTTTATTTTAAACACGAATGAAAAATTAATCATATGAGTTACGTAGTAATTTCAGAAGATTTGCACCATGATTCTGTATCTGTAAACTTATTTATCTAAAAAATGATTGCTTTTCTACGTACAGAACAGCAGTTAAATGTGGATAAAATTAATCTCATGTCTGACGGAGCTGCAAGAGATAAAAATCTCTAAAATAAAGATTAAAAAAAAATAATAACGGAGCTTCCCAACTAACAATTTTCACAAGGTAAACGCTTTACTCATTTCATTTATACAGCCTCAAGCTGTATTTAAACGTTATACGATATGAAGAAACCTTTACTCAACCTCTATACAAGCAAATCTGGCGAACTTACT